TAATTTACACAGGTAAGTCATGTTTATTCTCAGTTGAAATCGACGAGTCTGTTTACGTGCAGAAAAAATCATGTCGGGCGAGTTTTGCCACAACAATGGGTCTCTGGAGGCATTTGTCAGGAGATTAGTGAGTGTTGCATGTTTTGTGTACAAGATAGATCAGCAGCTACACATCACACTTATGCCGATAATCACAGCACATATCCTGCTGGGCACAACAGTCATGTCAGATCAATAGAGCATATAATGCAATTGGCAGCACTCCGGGATTGACTCATCAAATGGTCATTTATTCTGTTAAGTTTTTGGATCCAAACTCGGGTGCCAATAGCCAATACCCAAAGCATCGAACGTTTGAGGAAATCTGCAAAAGAGAGAAACAAGCGCCACAACGGCACACACAGACATATGCTCGACTTGTCAATGTGTGAGTGTGAGTTCATGTGGCGTCAACGTGTTAAAGTAATTGGTTTTTATGTCTTCAACGCCATTCTAGACGATATTGTTCAATTTTGGCCACTACAGTAGCGGAGGACCTTTAAAGAAGTATGTATGTTTAAAATAACATTTGTTTTAGTTTTATTGGAAGTGTGAAGTGTTTTAAAATTTAATGGAAATGTGAAATAATGTATAATAATTTTTTAATAAAAATTTTTTAAGCTACTTCAGATTGATCAGGTTTAGGGATATATTTTAGGGTTCGTGTTAGGTTTAGGGATACATTTAGGCTTTAGGGTTCAGGTTAGGTTTAGGGATACATTTAGTAGATACTTCGGTAAGTCAAGGGAGACTACTACTTTTTGTGTATGGGATTTCGCAATCAGCGCCAAAAAATCCGAGTTTTTAATTTTCCGATGTGTGTGTCTATTTATTATTAAATTAGTACTTTCGATATGTATTTGAGTTCCGTTTTCGGCCTTATAATTAGGTAGACATCTTGGCCTACATTTTAATCAATTTCTTTTTCATTTACAATCAGTCAGCTTTGAGAAAATCCTTGGTAAATATAAGGCAACTTTCATCATTAAAATTAAGTCGAAGGAAAAAATTTGTCACTACCAAATTTTTTTTGCATCTGGGGAATCTATTGATCTACATGTATGCCAATTTTCACAGCGATAAGTGTCTTACGAGAG